GGCCGCGGGCCGGATCCCGCCGCCCCCACGCGCGACCAGCGCCCGGGCCCCGCGCGGCCGAGCCACTGGGAGAGCTCCCCGCCCTGTCTTTGTTGCCGTTTGCCAGAGGTTGAGCTCGCCAAGGCAGCTAGAAAAGACCATTAAAAGCGTGTCTGGAGTTTCTGCTTTTGTTCTTTTTTTTTTCTTTTTTTTTTTTTGTTTGGTTGTTTTTATTCCCATGCTCTTCATTTTTTGAGGGGAAAAAAATCACAAAACATAACTTATAAAACAATAGATATACCGCAGCCTTATTCACAACAGCATCATGGCAACACCCAGCGCAGCGCGGACCACAGGTGGGAAAATACACTGGAGAAAAGCAGCCCCGCGCGCGTTTCTAGCACGGGGCGTGCTCATGTACAGGTAATAAGTATCCACAAAAATTAGAGAAAAAAGAAGCAACAGATATGCCTGCAATTCAACTTCATATGCGTTTTGTATGCGGAGGCATAGATCATAGGCAGCACGTCCAGGGCTGGGGCTGGTTTTGCCAACAAGCGCTTGGGGAAGTATCTACATTGACAGGAGAACACCTGGAGATCGGACCCGCCTTCACAGCAGGGTTTTTTGGTTCCTTGTTTTCCCTTCACAGCAGAAAAAACAAGCAACTGCTTCCTGGCTACGAGGCTGCTAGGGCTGGGCCAGAGAGGCAGGATCGGGACCGGCCTCGTGACATTTAATCTCTTTTCCATGACATTTAATGTCACATTGAACAGAGACGTGACATGATTTTTTTCCCTCCTTCTAGACTCTCTAGCTTTTTTTTTTTTCTTCTTTAATAAGGGAATTTTAAAACACCGCCTTTAAATAACCATGCCTGATCATCTCATGCTCAGGGGAAGGCTTGCGGGGAGCGTGCCCGGCTCAGCGTGGCTGGAGGGGGCCGGGGGCGCTGCAGTCTCGTGGAGGAGACCGCGGTACCAAGGACTGCCTGGCCCTAGGTGTCTCGAGGAAAAAAACCCATGAAGAATCATGCACTTTCAAAACCAGTTTATTCACGGCCCGGCACAAGGTAGCGGCAGGTATAAATAGGTAAGTGGTTGACCCTTGGCATTCGCAGGTTTAATAGTTTCAGACCTAAGGTTTGGTTTGGTTTTCCCTCCCCCTCCCCTCTCTCCATCTGCCCGCATCTGCCACCTGGCCCGAAGCCGGCTCTTGTCAGTGGTAAACCCCCCCACCCCCCAGCCCCCAGCCCCGCGGGCC